GAGTTCGATCCCCGAGGCCTGCCGCGTAGGCTCTGCTCCCTGGGGCGCGCTGAAATGGCAATTGAGACTGGGCGTGGTGCGTGCCTGGAATCCTAGCACTTGGGAGGCTGTAAACAGGAGAATCACTAAGAGTCTGATCTAGTAGTGAGACCCTGAACACCCTGTAGACCCTTCCCTAACATACAGAAAAATAAGTAAAATAAAATAAAATTAAGGAAAGAGATACTATGTGGATGTTTAATAGAAGTTAGAGAAAAAAAATGAGAAATGTCTCTCATAAATTATTTTATTTCATTAACTTTAAAATAAAGCAAAGGGCGAAACTCCTAAATCTTCCCTTTTATAGTTATCTAGTTAATAAGGAGTTAATATGCTAACTTTCCCATGATAACATAATTAAGTCTGGCTTTGAACTCACTGCTGGCTGGCTTTGAATTTGATGAGATCCTCCTGCCTCAGCTTCCTAAGTGCTAGAATTACAGCTATGTGTCAACATGCACAGCTCATTCCAAATACTGTCTGACACAAAGTGGTACCTATAAACATTACCAAAATATCAAGATTTTAATATGGGGATCATTTCTGCTTTTGTTATGTAAAATTACCCAGACAGCCAGAAGACATTTGATCAGCTAGAAATATCTGAAATCATTTACACCCAAGATGATGACGCAGAAATAATTTGTATTCTAAATGGCTACAGATGGCTGAGCTCCCTTGTGGTGTAGAGCCAGGGCAAGTTTAATGGTCTCTCATTTTTGGAGATGTGAGCTTGTGCACTTGCAGTCTGCCAAGAAGAGCTTGGAGATTATGGTGCTTCCTATCCCTTTTAAACAGTGATGTGGCTGGCCTTATATTGTGTTAATAACATAATCATAGTGGGTGGAAATAAATCTACTTTCCCTCCTTAACCATCACCTTGGTGATTTAATTAGGAAAGAGAGCTCATGTTTAGGCACGTGCCCAGAGCAGTGGGCCCACCTGTCCTTGATTAGATTAAATGAATAGAGGGAAGCAGAGAGTAAGGAAGCCTTTATTTTTATTTTATTTTTTTATTATTATTTAAGTCCTTTATTAACAGGTGCTTGCAGTTTGTTGACTTTTTTGAAAAAATCAAGTTGTAAATTTTTATTACAAATTAAAAATGAAGTTCTTAAAAATCTCAACTTGACCAGATATGAAACAATTTAAAAACCTTTAAAGGT